GGTGGTGGTCCGGAATGATGTTCCTGTGGGCGGACCTGTAATGTGGGAGGTGGTGGACACGGAACCTGTGTGTGGGGAGTGAGTAGTGAATGGAGTGTGTGGCCCATTGGGAGTAGCCGAGGCCGTGGCGGTGTGTGTCCCCGGGCTCCCGGTGCCTCTACTGGTGGTCTTGGGGGAGATGGTGGTGCGTGGAGCAGATGTGGTGCCAGAGTGGGCAGGTGCGGAGGGGTGTGACACCAGGGAGGTGGAGGTTTTGGCTGTGCTGACAGAGTGAGGGGCTTGGGTGGTTCCTCTTGTGGTAGGTGTCCATGGCACTGTGGAGGGTGAGGGCACAGTGCCTGTGGCAGGGACATGTGTCGATGATGGAGAAGGGCCTGTTGGCCTTGCTGTAGAGATGGTCTCGGGTTGTGTTGGGGTGATCACTCTGTGAGAAGTGGGAGTGACAGAGGAGGTGGCAGAGTTTGGAACGTGAGTGGATTGAGTGGTCTTGGATGGAGATGCGGTTGGGAAGGTGGTGGTGGTCCGGAATGATGTTCCTGTGGGCGGACCTGTAATGTGGGAGGTGGTGGACACGGAACCAGTGGGGGCGGAGTGAGAAGTGAAGGGAGTGTGTGGCCTGTTGGGTGTGGCTGTGGCGGTGTGTGTCCCCGGGCTCCCGGTGCCTCTACTGGTGGTCTTGGGGGAGATGGTGGTGCGTGGAGCAGATGTGGTGCCAGAGTGGGCAGGTGCGGAGGGGTGTGACACCAGGGAGGTGGAGGTTTTGGCTGTGCTGACAGAGTGAGGGGCTTGGGTGGTTCCTCTTGTGGTAGGTGTCCATGGCACTGTGGAGGGTGAGGGCACAGTGCCTGTGGCAGGGACATGTGTCGATGATGGAGAAGGGCCTGTTGGCCTTGCTGTAGAGATGGTCTCGGGTTGTGTTGGGGTGATCACTCTGTGAGAAGTGGGAGTGACAGAGGAGGTGGCAGAGTTTGGAACGTGAGTGGATTGAGTGGTCTTGGATGGAGATGCGGTTGGGAAGGTGGTGGTGGTCCGGAATGATGTTCCTGTGGGCGGACCTGTAATGTGGGAGGTGGTGGACACGGAACCAGTGGGGGCGGAGTGAGAAGTGAAGGGCGTATGTGGCCCGTTGGGAGTAGCCGAGGCCGTGGCGGTGTGTGTCCCCGGGCTCCCGGTGCCTCTACTGGTGGTCTTGGGGGAGATGGTGGTGCGTGGAGCAGCTGTGGTGCCAGAGTGGGCAGGTGCGGAGGGGTGTGACACCAGGGAGGTGGAGGTTTTGGCTGTGCTGACAGAGTGAGGGGCTTGGGTGGTTCCTCTTGTGGTAGGTGTCCATGGCACTGTGGAGGGTGAGGGCACAGTGCCTGTGGCAGGGACATGTGTCGATGATGGAGAAGGGCCTGTTGGCCTTGCTGTAGAGATGGTCTCGGGTTGTGTTGGGGTGATCACTCTGTGAGAAGTGGGAGTGACAGAGGAGGTGGCAGAGTTTGGAACGTGAGTGGATTGAGTGGTCTTGGATGGAGATGCGGTTGGGAAGGTGGTGGTGGTCCGGAATGATGTTCCTGTGGGCGGACCTGTAATGTGGGAGGTGGTGGACACGGAACCAGTGGGGGCGGAGTGAGAAGTGAAGGGAGTGTGTGGCCTGTTGGGTGTGGCTGTGGCGGTGTGTGTCCCCGGGCTCCCGGTGCCTCTACTGGTGGTCTTGGGGGAGATGGTGGTGCGTGGAGCAGATGTGGTGCCAGAGTGGGCAGGTGCGGAGGGGTGTGACACCAGGGAGGTGGAGGTTTTGGCTGTGCTGACAGAGTGAGGGGCTTGGGTGGTTCCTCTTGTGGTAGGTGTCCATGGCACTGTGGAGGGTGAGGGCACAGTGCCTGTGGCAGGGACATGTGTCGATGATGGAGAAGGGCCTGTTGGCCTTGCTGTAGAGATGGTCTCGGGTTGTGTTGGGGTGATCACTCTGTGAGAAGTGGGAGTGACAGAGGAGGTGGCAGAGTTTGGAACGTGAGTGGATTGAGTGGTCTTGGATGGAGATGCGGTTGGGAAGGTGGTGGTGGTCCGGAATGATGTTCCTGTGGGCGGACCTGTAATGTGGGAGGTGGTGGACACGGAACCAGTGGGGGCGGAGTGAGAAGTGAAGGGAGTGTGTGGCCTGTTGGGTGTGGCTGTGGCGGTGTGTGTCCCTGGGCTCCCGGTGCCTCTACTGGTGGTCTTGGGGGAGATGGTGGTGCGTGGAGCAGATGTGGTGCCAGAGTGGGCAGGTGCGGAGGAGTGTGACACCAGGGAGGTGGAGGTTTTGGCTGTGCTGACAGAGTGAGGTGCTTGGGTGGTTCCTCTTGTGGTAGGTGTCCATGGCGGGGAAGAAGGTGAGGGCACTGTGCCTGTGGCTGGGACATGTGTCGATGATGGAAAAGGGCCTGTTGGCCTTGCTGTAGAGATGGAAGGAGAGTGGGTCTCGGGTTGTGTTGGGGTGATCACTCTGTGAGAAGTGGGAGTGACAGAGGAGGTGGCAGAGTTTGGAACGTGAGTGGATTGAGTGGTCTTGGATGGAGATGCGGTTGGGAAGGTGGTGGTGGTCCGGAATGATGTTCCTGTGGGCGGACCTGTAATGTGGGAGGTGGTGGACACGGAACCTGTGTGTGGGGAGTGAGTAGTGAATGGAGTGTGTGGCCCGTTGGGAGTAGCCGAGGCCATGGCGGTGTGTGTCCCCGGGCTCCCGGTGCCTCTACTGGTGGTCTTGGGGGAGATGGTGGTGCGTGGAGCAGCTGTGGTGCCAGAGTGGGCAGGTGCGGAGGGGTGTGACACCAGGGAGGTGGAGGTTTTGGCTGTGCTGACAGAGTGAGGGGCTTGGGTGGTTCCTCTTGTGGTAGGTGTCCATGGCGGGGTGTAAGGTGAGGGCACAGTGCCTGTGGCAGGGACATGAGTCGATGACGGAGAGGAGCCTGTTGGCCTTGCTGTAGAGATGGAAGGAGAGTGGGTCTCGGGTTGTGTTGGGGTGATCACTCTGTGAGAAGTGGGAGTGACAGAGGAGGTGGCAGAGTTTGGAACGTGAGTGGATTGAGTGGTCTTGGATGGAGATGCGGTTGGGAAGGTGGTGGTGGTCCGGAATGATGTTCCTGTGGGCGGACCTGTAATGTGGGAGGTGGTGGACACGGAACCTGTGTGTGGGGAGTGAGTAGTGAATGGAGTGTGTGGCCCGTTGGGAGTAGCCGAGGCCATGGCGGTGTGTGTCCCCGGGCTCCCGGTGCCTCTACTGGTGGTCTTGGGGGAGATGGTGGTGCGTGGAGCAGATGTGGTGCCAGAGTGGGCAGGTGCGGAGGAGTGTGACACCAGGGAGGTGGAGGTTTTGGCTGTGCTGACAGAGTGAGGGGCTTGGGTGGTTCCTCTTGTGGTAGGTGTCCATGGCACTGTGGAGGGTGAGGGCACAGTGCCTGTGGCTGAGACATGTGTCGATGATGGAGAAGGGCCTGTTGGCCTTGCTGTAGAGATGGTCTCGGGTTGTGTTGGGGTGATCACTCTGTGAGAAGTGGGAGTGACAGAGGAGGTGGCAGAGTTTGGAACGTGAGTGGATTGAGTGGTCTTGGATGGAGATGCGGTTGGGAAGGTGGTGGTGGTCCGGAATGATGTTCCTGTGGGCGGACCTGTAATGTGGGAGGTGGTGGACACGGAACCTGTGTGTGGGGAGTGAGTAGTGAATGGAGTGTGTGGCCCATTGGGAGTAGCCGAGGCCGTGGCGGTGTGTGTCCCCGGGCTCCCGGTGCCTCTACTGGTGGTCTTGGGGGAGATGGTGGTGCGTGGAGCAGATGTGGTGCCAGAGTGGGCAGGTGCGGAGGGGTGTGACACCAGGGAGGTGGAGGTTTTGGCTGTGCTGACAGAGTGAGGGGCTTGGGTGGTTCCTCTTGTGGTAGGTGTCCATGGCACTGTGGAGGGTGAGGGCACAGTGCCTGTGGCAGGGACATGTGTCGATGATGGAGAAGGGCCTGTTGGCCTTGCTGTAGAGATGGTCTCGGGTTGTGTTGGGGTGATCACTCTGTGAGAAGTGGGAGTGACAGAGGAGGTGGCAGAGTTTGGAACGTGAGTGGATTGAGTGGTCTTGGATGGAGATGCGGTTGGGAAGGTGGTGGTGGTCCGGAATGATGTTCCTGTGGGCGGACCTGTAATGTGGGAGGTGGTTGACACGGAACCAGTGGGGGCGGAGTGAGAAGTGAAGGGAGTGTGTGGTGGGTTGGGTGTGGCCATGGTTGACCTGGTCCCTGTGCTTGTGTGTGCTGTGCCCTGGCCTGTGGTGCTCCCTGGTGATCTTGTGGTTGTTCCTTCCGTTCGGTGGTGGGTTGAGGGGCCTGCGGAAAGTATGATGCGTCAGTTTGTTATCATGTCATCCTTGCCCGGTAGGTGGCCTCCCACCTGCTGATGGTGTTCCCCACGCTGGCTTCCTGTGCACCCGATGTGTCCCCCTGCTTTTACTGCCTCTGCTGACTTTGGTCCCTGCAGGTGTTTTTGGTCCCTCTTTCCCCTCGCAGAGGGTGCTATGATGGGTTCAGGTACTCTCGGGCTCTTTCCTGTGGGATCGTTCTGCAGTTTGGACTTTTGGCCCTGATTTCAAACCCGGTCACTGCCCTCTAGATCCAGTGCCTTTGGGACCCCTGTGCTCACCTGGTGTGGGGGCAGCCGTGGTGGGTGGGCCTGTAGGTGCTGTGCGGGGAGAGGTGCAGAGAGCATGTGGTTAGCTGTCGGCTCAGGCTGGTTGCTGGGCTGGCTGCCCCCCTTTTGAGTTTTAGGCGTCCCCCCTGGGAATCTGTGGCCTGTTCTCATACGCAGTTCCCCAGCCTGGGCTGGGCGTTGGAGCACCTGTGCTATCTCCCCTCTGTGGGGACCTCATGGGGTAGCCTTACCCTGGGACCCCGTGGTGGTTTCTGGTTTGGTTGGTGTTGGCCATGCCGCTGTGGTGCGCACTGTGGACCGCGCTGTGGATTGCGTGGCTGTGCTGAGCAGGGGTGCGGTGGGCTGTGTGGTGGCCTGAGTCACAGTAGGCCCCGTGGCTGTTGACCTGGGGGTGGCTGTGGCGGCTGGTCCTGACGTGGCTCGTGTGGTGATGGCGGAGGTTGTTCTAGGCGGCTCTGCAGGGAACAGGACCATCTGCCCTCCCCTTTCCCTGCCCCACCTGTGCCACAGGAGCCTGGCCCGCGGGCACGCTGAGCCCCTTCGAGAAGGGCGTGTGCCTTCCCCTCGCCAACACGCACATCCTTCCTCAGCTGCTTGTCCGGTGGCCATGGGCTCACTGGGCGCCGGCTGGCCCTTCACCTGCCCTTGCTAGCAGGACCCATGCCATGTCCCCCCTGGTCCCTGGGCAGCGGCAGGGGCTGCTGTGTGGGCTCCCTGCGTCTGCAGGTCCCACATGCTTCAGTGATAGTGCCAGGCAGCCTGGAACTGCCACGTCCCACAGCAGCTGGTCCTTCAACCCCACCCGCTATGCTGAGCATCTGCCCGCACCCTCGGGAGCATGTCTGATCGTCACGTGTTCCGCCACCGCAGGGCGTCCTCACCTCCTGAGGAGACTGTGGGTTCTGGCCGCAGGGTCGGGGCTGTGCCTGTCTGTGTGGAGGCGGGGGCCGAGGCCGTGGGGGTTGCAGGTGTGGCGTGGGGGCTTGGTGAGGGTGCCGTGGAGCTGAGGGGCCCAGTGGTTCTGGGGGTGGCTGTGATGTTGGGGGTGGCCGAGGTGGGCCTGGCTTCTGTGGAGGGCGAGCCTGAGTGAGGCAGAAGGGCTGTGAGTCCGGGCCTAACCCTGGGAGGAGTCCCCTCGCTTGCCTGCTGAGCCATGTAGCCCCCACCCCCAGGTGGGCTGGACAGGAGGCACAGGGTGCAAAGGCTAGTGCCCCGCTGAGGGCAGCATCCCAGCCCCTTCGGCCTTGCTGTGGCAGTGGCTGTCCAGCACGGCGGGGCTGGTCAGCCAGGATAAGCTTTCCATGCCCCTCCCCTCTGCTGTCCTGGTCAGCGCCGCTTGCCCCCGCCTTGTGGGGCAGCCCAGGACAACCCAGGTGCACCCCAGCCTTGCCCACATGCCAGCCAGCAGCTGTTGGGATGGGCACAGGCTGGGCTGACGGCTACCCAGGGATGAGCCCGGGGAGAGCGCTGCTTCACCTTGGCACCTAGTGTGTGCACATTCACCTGTGGTGGGCGGCGGCGGCGTGGTGGGCAGCAGCACTGCAAGAGGAAGTGTGGTCAGTGCTGTCGCCCTGTGCCGCCCCTCCCAGTCCTGCCCTCCCGGGGGTCCCCAGGTGGGTCCCTGCTTCTCAGTCCTCTTCCCCCCTCTTCCCCGGGTCTCCTCTTCTCCCAGCACCACTGCCCAACCCTGGTGATGCCTGGCAGCCGGGATGCTGTCCAACACCCACCTGTGGTAGCTCCAGGCCAGCTGTCACCCACATACCCAGCAAGCTGGCGGAGCCCAGGCCTGGGTTGCCCTGCAGCTGGGTGCTGGGTGTGGGTGCGTCAGCATTTGGGGAGGGGAAGCCTGATTGTTTTCCTTTGAGTTTGCTGTCTGGGGCATGGGCGTCCCAGCACCTCAGAGGCACAGCTGGGGAGTCGGGTGCTGGAGAGCTGGCCAGAGGTGTGTGCAGGGCTCCGCCATGGGGGCTGGGAGGGCATGGGGGCTGTGGCCTGAGCTTACTGCACTGCACGCACGTCCCCGTGTCCTGGTCGAAGTACTCGTCCTGGGAGCAGTTGTAGCAGCCTAGGGGGCAGGGCCGAGAGGCCGGGCCTCAGTACCGGAGCCGGAGCCCCTCTTCAGAGGCTTGGTTCCTGCCCTCTCTGTCCCCAGCCACTCCTGGCCTCTCACTGAACTGCAGAGGCAGGTCCCCCCTTGTCCCCAACCCCAGCCACCCTGCCCTGTGCCTGTCACCGTCCCCTGGCTCCAGGCAGGGCCCTCGTCCACCATCCTGTCCTGATCACTGGCCGGGAGGCCATCAGTTGTCTGGCCCAGCCTCGCCCTCTCCTCGCCCGCACCTTCGATGTTGGTGTCTGGAAGGCTCTGCAGCTGCTGGGGGCAGAGGCACGGCCGGTAGTGCCACGTGCAGTTGGTCTCCGGGGTGTGCTGGTACTGACCATCGCCCGCCCGCGTGTGGGAGTTGTAGAAGTCGCAGTAGATGGCTGGGAGGACGGATGCCTGTCAGGGCCTGGGAGGCTCGGGGTCCTTCTGCAGGTCCCTCTGGAGGGCACAGCCTGCTGCCCACCCGGGAGAGGTGCTCCCACCATGGCCGCCCCCAGTGGGGACAGGGTACTCACGGCAGAAGTCGGGGGCCCTCCAGTCCACGCACACGCCCTTGTCCAGGCAGGCCTTGGCGTAGGCGGCCACAGCGTCGCACAGGCACTCACAGTCCCCACCCGTGTCGCACCCACACGTGTCGCGCACGCAGGCCTCGTAGTAGGGCAGGCGGTACACCTGCGGGAGTGGCCCTCAGTGTCTGCTGTCCACCCACCTGCTCAGGCCCGACCCCCGCGGCGCAGCCCCCCAGGCTGTGGCAGGCGGCGAAGGTCTGGCTATTGATGATGCTGCACTTGCGCTCGGCCCAGGCGCGGCGGAAGGCGGTGAGGCTGCAGGGGTCCAGCGCGAGTCTGGCGTCTCCGCACAGCGGGCTCTCCTTCCACGAATTCACAAACTCCAGCTCGCTGGACGCCACGTACTTGCTGCGTGTCTCAAAGTCGTCCTTCATGTTCCCGTTGTAGTTGCCGCACAAGCCGCACAGGGCGTCCTGCGGGGGCTGGTGTCAGGCGGGCAGATGTGCGGGTGGCGGGCGCTGACCCACCCCGGCGACCTGGGCGGTGGCGCGTGGTACCTGTGAGGCTCGCGAGATCTTGATGGAGACGGTCATGTGCTTGTTCCAGATGAGGGTCAGGTTGTAGCTGCTGCCGATGGTGACGTCCAACACCAGGTGCAGGGAGCCAGCCCTGACCCGGAAGTGCACCTGGGGGTCTGTCCCGCTGACCGTGTAGTTCCTGTCCGCCAGTACGATGGACAAGCCCTGTGGGGCAGGGCTGTCACCAGGGTGCCAGCCCCACCTGGGCGGCTGCCGAGTGCCCCCAGCTCTGCCCCCGCCTGTGCTCTCCCGCAGGGCCCGTCAAGGACACGCGTCGGCCAGCGCCTGCTCAGGGCCAGCTCTGGGCTGGGGCCTGTCCTCTCGAGCCTGCCATTGGCGGGAGGTTCCAGAACGTCATGGACACTGAGCTGAGGACTGAGTCAGGCTTCTGGGAGACTCCCTACCCCACGCCCAGCTCTAGGAGACACTGCTGCCTGTTGTGTGGATGAGGAAGCAGAGGGGAGGCCAGTGCTAGCGGCACAGAGAGGCCGGGACCTGGAGCTTGGTGGCTGCCTTGTGGGGACACCCTCCAGCCCACTCACTCCCAGGAACATCCTGATGGCCCGGGAGCAGGTGACACCCGATTTCCCGCACACGACGTTCTCCGTGAGGATCTTGAAGGTGGGCCGGGAGTCATTGGTGCCGCAGCCATCCTGTGGGGAGGGGGCGCTGAGGAGGAGCCCACCAGGAGCCCCGAGTCCTCCCAGGGCCTCCTCCTGGCCCCCCGTGGCCCTTCCCCCAGGGTCTCACCGTGGCCAGGATGTACTCGCAGCTGCCCTCAAACACGAAGCGCTGCCCGTCGAAGGTGACCACATGGCCTTCCCCATAGAGGGTGCAGGTGGACGAGCAGTGGGCGCTCTGCTGGCACACCCACTTCCCCCTCGAGCAGGTGCTGCCGGGAGCAGGGAGCTCTGGTTCTGAGAGACCCAGGCCGCACCCACCCTGTAGGATCTGACCTCCCAGCCCCCAGGACCCTGCGGACAGCCCTGTGCCAGGGTGGGACTGGCTTACCAGGCCTTACAGTCAGTGTGGAGCTCGGCACCCCGGGGGTAGGAGACCCCCGCAAACTCGCACGGGCACTCCTCGGGGGGCACGCACTGCCCGCTGGCGTTCTCGTAGAGCCCCTCGGCACAGACGCAGCCGGGCTCGCACTTGGTGGGCACCTGCAGGGCGGAGGTCAGCAGCCCCTGGGAGGGTGGCCCCGGTGGGCCCTCTGCCCCTGCATTCCTCCCAGACCCCCTCCTGTACCAGCCTGCTCAGGGCCTTTCTCTCGGCAGCCTCCCTCCCTCAGGAAAGGGGCCGGTGCCTCCGTGCCTCAGGCTGGGCTGTTGTACCCCCTCCTACTCCTCCCCAAGTTGGGGCCTCAGCCCACCTTCCTCAGGGAACCCCCCAGACTGAGCACACCACCCTCCAGCTACTGGGCCTCCCAGCCCCACTGGGCCCGCCTCTCCTGGGGGACAGGGTGGGGCAGAGCCTCTCCTGAGGAGTCTGGGCTTCCTCCCCCAGCCCAGACAGGATGGGGAGCCTGCCCTCGCCTGCCCCAGCCTTACGCAGGGGGTGCCCGTGGCCAGCATCTGGCACGTGGGGGCACAGGGCCCCAAACTTGTTCCTTGAGGACTGGCTGCAGGACTGGAATGTCTTGGGGGCCGAGCAGGAGGCTGCAGGGAAGGGGGCTGGTGAGGCGGGCTCAGCGGAGGCCAGGGCTCCTCGCAGTCCAGGGCGCCGCTCCGCTGCACTACGTACCCAGGAGCATCGACGGCCGCCCAGGGCAGCTCAGCCGCCCATTGGAACAGTAGCTGCAAGAGAGGCCGTGTGAGGGGGCGGCCTGGGGCGGGGCTGCAGGGGGCGGGGCTGCCACCCAGGACCCTCACGCACCAGATGACGCCCTCGACCACAGTGGACTGGCCGGCCAGGATGAGCTTGTGGGTGTTGCAGCCTTCCACGGGCACGGCACTGGGGTGGCACTCGGCGGCGCGGTCGGACAGTGAGAAGCAGGTGCGGCCGCAGGCCCGGCTGTCATAGCTGTACGTCTGGTTGCCCGTGCAGGGGACGGCTGCGGGGAGTCTGGCGTCAGGATGGCTGGGCAGAGCTTGGCCCGACCGGTCACAGCCCCACTGGTTCTCTGGACTGTGAGTTTCTTAGACTTTCCTTGTTTTGGATGACCTTGATATTTGAGGAGTACTCCTCAGGCATTTTGTAGGACGACCTTCAGCTTGGGTTTTTCTGAAGTTTTTCCTATAATTAGACTGTGGGCTTTTGAGGGGAAAATACCACAGAGGTGAAGTGCCCTTCTGATCACAATCCTAGCAAGATCCATGCTCTCAATGTGACATACTGCTTGCCAGGTCTCTCCTTATAAAGTTGTTATTTTTCTGCTTTCCATATTGTACTCTTTGGAAGGAAGTCACTAACCCGGGCTCCCGCCACCCGCACCCCCGGCAGCACGCACTGCAGTTGTCCACGCTGCTTCTCCAGCCCCAGAGCAGGATGCCCCTGGAGGCGCAGGTGTGGGCGTAGTCCCCCAGGGCGGCACAGATGTGCGGGAAGCCATCCACACCCTGTCCCCAAGGTGCCCGACCCCGCAGCCCTCCTGGCCACGTGCGAGCCCCGCCTACCCTGTAGAAGGGCTTGGGGTTCACCACGGCGTGGCACCTCTCGAAGACCGTGCCCTTGTTCACCAGCACCGCACAGTGGGTCTCCGCGCACACCTCTGCGGGGACAGGCCCTGTGGGTTCCCGTGCCCCCAGCGTGGGTTTCCCGCCCGCCCCAGCCCTCCGGCC